GCTGGATGACAGCTGGTCAACACCCCCCCCCCGCTCCCCACCCTCCTTTCTTTTTTAATTACGCACACTTGAACGCATCTTCCCAAGTATCGATCGCCCTTAAATTCGAAGGATGCCCTGCAAATTGTCTTCAGCCTCCGCTGCTCCGGTAAGTGTCTACTCCCCGGGACACTTGATGGAACACGCTGCGTGGGTCATAACCGTGTAACTAGCCGGTGATACAGAGATGGCAATTTTAAAAAATGGGTCTTTTAACAAGACTGTCGACTGGAAAATGTGCGTAAACCCCTAAAGCACGCCCCACAAAATGTGGATGTCAGGCTAAAGCAATGCAATGCCATTTGCAAATCGAAAAAAATAGCTTTGTTTTACCTCAAAGGCGCACCGTCGTATTCCAAGTGCGCCAAAGGTCATTGCGCAAATGTTCAGAGGACAAGAACAGGGAGAGATGACAAGTAGGCAGCAGTACACATGACCTAATCCTCTTCGGTATATGTCCTTCACATGTGCTCAAGCCGATAATCTTCCAAAGGGGGGAGTCCCCCCACCCCCACCCCGAATTCCGGCGGTCTATAATCTTCTTTTACCACCCCACCACCCCCAGGCAGGCGGTTCGACGGCGTGCGGTTCACTTTCTTCCGCGCGCACCGGCTGAAGTTGAAGTGATGCGTTCAAGGGTCCAAGCAACTCTGGATAATAGTGTGTTGCTCCTTGCGGCGAGGGAGTTTTCCCGGTCGCATCGCTGCCCTGACTTGTGGCTTACATGGTCACACACACACACGGAGACACACAAACACACACGCACATCCATTGACGCGACCTGAAACACAGTGGAATTCGAAAGGGAGACACACAACCTGTGAGTCGCTCGGCTTGGCTCGCCCTCTCTCCCGTCGCTTTCCCTTTGTTGCTCTCTGGCGCCACCCAACGTTGGATTTAGCACATTTAGCTAAAAACACTGGGCCGGAGTGGAATGAATGCCAAGAACTGATGACAGATAATTACTTTATATCGTAAATGTTGTCAAAATAATGTCAAGTTGGGGGAAAGTGCTCTACAGTCTAGATTTTGTAGCGTTTTTTTTTTAATGAATAAAAACGTTCTTAAACAGAAACCTCACAAAACCGTATACATATACAGTAGGAACAAAGATAATTGAAAGAATTGAACAGGGCGTGCATCAGGATTCTATGCTTTGAGCCAATGGACATTGTGCAGCACCTTCTGGTGTCTGCACTTTGCCACGAGGGGGCAGTAAAGTACAAACATAATGAATACGTACATGCACATGAGTGTCTTCCAGTAAGCTGCAGTAATATTAGTGGAGGGGGGGGGGTTGGAAAAGGATAAAAGAATATATGTCCATGACTGTTGTTATATTGCCTGTCTATATATGGGTTGTATCGCACGCACATGCGCACGCGCGCGCACAACTACACGTATAAAAAAAAAAAAAATGGCCTCCGACTTGGGTCAGTTTGACCCAAATAGTTTGGGTTGTTTTGTACTAAAAAAAACAAAAAGTACTGTACCATAATTAAGTCTTTTTTTTCTCTTCATGTAATTCACAATATTTCATTGGGGCCTTTGCCCCAGTACATGCTAAATAAAGAAATTATTGCCTCGCCCCAGACGCCTCCCGCAAAGCTGAAATTTACAGCCGAAAAGTGATGCAGCCCGGAGAATTCCAGAGCACAAGCTGGTAAACGCTGACACATATTTAGTAATATATAATTTTAATTATTGTTTCCTGTTCATTGGAAAATAGTGTCCATCCCACCATGACGAATGTCTTATGTTGAGTAATTAAACGCCCCCAGCCACTATAAGAGAAAATATGTTGAAGAATTTCAAGCATCCATGACAAGTTATCACACAGTAGGGGCAATCGAATGAAAATCCATTAAGTGGTCCACTTTTCAAAAGCCATAACCCATAAAACAGCACACATTTAGCTTGAAGCGTGGGCCCGATTGTCCTAGACAGCAAAAGCGCAATAATGGGCCAAAAAAGGCAGCTGGAGGCAGCGCAGGTGTGAGGCGACTGATAAGAAGTTTGATCGGCAAAAGAGCAAAAATGCGGTGAAAAGATCACATGAGCATACTCTGAAAATAAATGCATTTTCTTGTTCCTTGGGGCCCTGAACAAAAGTGATGGAGTGCAGCCTGTTGGTAATGGCGCCATTGCAAGACTTTGCTCAAAAATAAAATAAGTACCTGCATTTTTATGAGGAACACGACACGTAATATAAAGCCCTTGAGTGGGTTTCATACCAGAAAAAAATAAAAGTGAAAACTTTATCACCACTCAATTTTTATAGTTGCCATTTTCCTAAAAAAAATGGCCCAATTATATCATCATTATTCTCATGATGCAAAACACCTTCGCGAACAGCTACAGCCTCACTTGAACAGTTCATGCGATTCAAGCCCTGAAATGAAATTATACTGGACTGTGTATTCAGTATTTGGTTCATTTTTTGCGATAGATGAGCTCACGATACTGGCGTCGACGTTGCTGCAATTATCAAGCTTTATTCAAAGGCATATAATCTTCAGCAAAAACTAAAACTAATGATATTGTGAATGTGAGAGTGGACGGATGGAGTCGCAATGTTCTTCTGTTTTCGTGCCACAGCTACATGTAGAAGGGCACACCAGAAAGCGGCTAAAAAAGTCAAATCAAAAGAATGACATGTATTGAACCAAACCTTATAAACATCACTTATAAAATACTACTAGCTTAATGCTAACACACAATGCAAAAGGCTGCAGATGAGCTAACGAAACTAGCATTGCAGTAATTAGAAACCTTTATACAACTTTTTCAAACATGAGCGGGAACAAAATATATAAAAATAGCATACAAAAATACTCACAGGCAAATAAGTTCTTCTGTTTTCGTGCCACAGCTACATGTAGAAGGGCACACCAGAAAGCGGCTAAAAAAGTCAAATCAAAAGAATGACATGTATTGAACCAAACCTTATAAACATCACTTATAAAATACTACTAGCTTAATGCTAACACACAATGCAAAAGGCTGCAGATGAGCTAACGAAACTAGCATTGCAGTAATTAGAAACCTTTATAAAATGTTTTCATGAGCGGGAACAAAATATATAGAAATAGCATATAACAATACTCACAGGCATATAGTCTCTATCCTCAGCAAAAACAAACAAACAAAAACGATTATGATGTCTTTTGTGTTTCACCATTCAATCGAAGCGTAAATGTCTATTGTACTGCCCCCTGGTGGCCAAGGTACACACACACCAGAAGGAGCAGAAACTGGTTGAGCACTGCCTCCACAGCCTCAAATAAAATAATGATAATAATTATAATAACTTTTAACGTGTCTGGACTGGTGGCCACATATCAGTCTGTTACAGATTTTCATGGGAATGTGAACAAAGCCAATCAAAATCCTGCTAAGCTAATAACTCACCTGCTTCTAGAGAGCGCCATGATTACTTTAGGGGACTATATCAGCTTTTGGTGTGCGCCACAAAATGATGAAGCGTACAAAAAAAGGTCACGTTAGAAAATGCAGCAGAAAAACTGCACCGGAAGGACAGTGAGAGATTGCGTGTGCCATTAAAAACATCCCTTGACTGGCAATGAAATCTCAAACAGCGGCATTATTAATTGTCCTTGCGAGGTTACATGGAATTGGTTCACCGCTATGATGTCTCAAATCGCGGCGGAGAAACGAGCTATGGCCAACCCGGCGACAACGGAGGGAACACAAGTGTATTTATGAGGACGGGGGAGAAGAAAAATGGAGGTGATGTTCACCGTCGTAGCAGCATGGAGGAACAACAACTGCTCAGATAAGCCACTGTGTAAAATGCGCCGCCACTTAAGTGTTTTGTTTGAATGTATAACGGATGAACTGACTGATGATGTCATTGTATCACATTTTTTTAATCAGAAATGTTTTAGATTTTTTTTTGTGCTGATTCTGAATCTCCTCTTGTTTTTCCTCTAGCACAACAGGTATTCATAATAATAATACATAAATTATAATGTGACGTAATAAAATGAATCTCTGGGTAGGTTTAGCAACAGTTGGGATTTTTTTTTTTCTGGAATATCGTAGATATAAATGATCAACGCATGGTAAAATCAAACTTAAAAACTAAAAATTTGAATACCTCCAAAATGTTAATCGTACGGCGGTCCTGAAGTGCAAAACACATCAAATAACTAAACCACAGCAAAAAGAAAAAAACTAAAACTAAACAGCAAATGAAAAAAAAAACAAATAAATTACTAAAAAGAACAGCAAAAAAAAATAATCACAACAGCAAATCACAAAAACACAGAAACAAAAACAAAATAGCAAAGAAAAAAAATCACAAACCAAAACAGCAAATCAAAATACACATTTTCTGTGCCCCTATTCAAGAAAGCACACATACAGGCCTGCATTAAGTTTGCCAGTGGACATCAAAATGACTCTGCAAAGACTTGGGAGAAAGTGCTGTGGTCAAATGGAAGTAGAAAGTGTCACCGCATCAAACTGAAATGTTTCACTCTCAGGTGTTTACCCTTTTGACGGGCGAAATCAACATGCCCTACATCGAGCGCCTTTTCACTCAACGCCAGAGATGACTCATGTTGTCAGATGTCCACCAACCGATGAATGCCGCTCTTAAAAATGAGATGGCAACCACATCAAGTTTAATTGATTTATGTTCTGAAAGTGTTTATGCCGCCCTCTGGAGGCAGATTGGGTGTACTGACAAATTCTCAGCCTTTGGTCAAGAAATGAATGGGAAACTGAAAAAGTGAAAAAAGAAGAGAGTAAAAGAAAAGAAATTAACGTTCAACAGCTCTGGTGAACATTTCGGCAAGTCAGCATGTAACAATATTTGTGAGGAAAGGGCTTTTAAACATGTTTGAAAGAAACATGTGTCCTTCAATGGGCTACAATCACAAAGGCTTGGCATTGTATAGTGAGCAGTAGAATGGATATAACGTAGGGCAACTTACTTATGCTCACTGTTTTACACAAACAGCATCTTGAACACTCTCGGAAGGAAGGCCAAACCAAAGGTGGAGGCAAACAGGAGTATTTATACTACACTCTAATTAGGACCAAACAAGGACCCGAAATATTGAAAGATGTCCAGTAATATGCCTGTTCCATTTCCACAGAGACCTTAAAATGTACCTGCCCACCTGTGACAATGCAATACATTAGTCATTAGCACAGATTTATTTTGAGTGATCTGCAAGACGGCAGCGTAGGCCTTAACAGGACAAAGCTAACGTTAAGCTACAGCTCAAGCGTCTGTGTTTGTTTTTAGCCATGCAACCTCAAATTCGCCTCCAATGAGTGACCAGCAGTGCATGACAACGCCCATATGATTCATTTCTAATGTCAATATTGTTTATGGATGCCATATTTTTTGTTCATTTCCTCTCATTTAAAAGTTGGCTTTCCAAGATTCCCACAGAAGTACAAATATACTTTCCACCCACTTTCAAATATACAGCCCACTTGTGGGAATTCAGGACAATTAGTCATTGCCACAGAATTTAAACAGTGTGAACTTCAGTGTTACCAAAGAAAACAAGCTTGAAGAGACTGTTGTGAACAATCGGCAGGTCCGAAGCTAAGGTACAACACTCGGGGAAGCTAACGTTAGCATGTCTGTGTACCATTTCTAGCTGTGTGACTTGATTAACTTGTTTTAGAAAACGTACACCAGACTCCATACTTCCACTAACAACCCAGGCTAAACTATCGGTTGAGATTTATCACTTCAACGAGATTTGTGGTCTTAGTTGAGTTTGTTTGGGTCTTTTTACTACTTTATATCCTCGGGTTTATAGGGTATGCAAGCGTGACATTTATTGAGCATTTCATAAACATCTTTTGAAAATAACTAATCAGTAAATGTATCGCTTTTTAGCCTGCTATTATGAATGTTCAAGAAAGAGTTTAAGGACTTTATGTAGCTGAAGAAATTGGATAATATTCTCATATTCACACTTTAGTTGATTATTAACATTCATATTCTGAATCTTTACAGTGATTTGCCTTGGGGTGAATGAGTTGAATCAGGAGGTCATTTTACTTGAATGTTGTTGTTTTTTTTTACCAGACTGTACCCCACCCCCCCCCCAAAAAAATCAAAAATGGGGAAGATACAGAAAAACTAAAACTACATAAATATATTGAAAAAATGAGGGGGGCGGGGGGGCTGCAAATATGTAAATTCTTGGGTGCCAAATTGTGAATATGCATCGACTGTAGTTTTAAGTATGGCACTGATGAAAAATAGTGCGCCCTCCCCTCCCCAGCATTGAGTCCATGCCGGAAAGCGCATCCAAATGTGAGGGGCGAAGGAAGCGAGGAACTCGCTTGAAATCTCGGACCGCCCTCCGTTTTTCGGCCAGCCCACCCCAACAACACAAACGCTACATTGAGCTGAGGAAAAGGAAAAGACTTGAGCACACGACAAGACGACTTTTCATTTGAAAACCCCTCGGGGAAAAAAAAAACACAGAGTTCCTTTTTTTTTCTACGCTCTTTTTTTTCGGCAGGGGTTCGCTAATTCGTCCATCCGCTGGCCTCCGATTTTTGCGGACTTTTTGCAGGCAAAAGTTTCCAGCTGTTTGCAGCTGGCAGGACGCACCCGCCCTGCTCGGGAACAAGGCGCTCGTGGGAGGAGAAGGAAGGGGGTCTCGAGCAAAAAAAAAAAAGAGGGAGAAGAGAAGCGATGGCACCCCAGCAAGCGCAGCCGCAGGTGAGGCAGCACATGGCCAAGTTCCTCCGGAGCTTCCCGGGGGTCACCCGCCTCCTGCAGATCGTCTTCGGCGCAGGCCTGTGGGTCACCATCGCCGCCAACAAGTACGAGGGCTCCATCCACTTCGTCCTCTTCGTGGCGGTGCTCTTCTGGCTCCTGTGCCTGGGCCTCTTCTTCGTCACGCTGCTCGACAAGCAGGACGCCGTGCCGGTGCTCGGCGGCCCCCGCTGGCTGTGCAGTAACCTGGCGTACGACGTGGCCGCCGCTGCGCTCTACATGCCCGCCGTTGGAGTCATGGTGTACAAGACGCATCGCAATGCCTACTGCATGGTGGAGCAGTACAAGCATTTCTGTCTGTACAAGGTCTACCTGACGGCCGCCGTGTTCGCCTGCCTGTGTTGCCTTGCCTTCCTGCTTTCGGTGGTCTACGGGGCCTGCAGGAAGAGCCGAGGGGAGCAGACGGTCATCTGAGGCTTTGCAACTTTTACTTTTGTTTTTTTTTTCTTAACCACAGCAAGATGAGGAACAAGTTAACTTCACTGGATTTCTTTTAATCCATCAAATGCAAATGTTTTACAGTGTTACCAGCAAGGGGTGGGGAAACCGATGGCCGGTGGGCCATAGAGAGGCCCCAATACCGTTTCCCTTTTTTTTTTTTTTTTATTGAGCACATAGAGTGGTGGCTTGAATTTCGAATTAAATTTGTTCAGACATTTCGGAAATCAGTTTTCCCACATCAAAATGAACTGAAATGCCATTCATCTGCTCCGCTTGGTCTGATTTTGATATTTGGTTGAATAAAATTCCAATACCCAATTACTCAGATGATTGATTTTAAAAATACATAATTAGTAAAATAGCTAATTACAGGCAGAACATTTGGCTGCTTTACAATATTTTTTCCAATAGTATTTCTTTAATTACATCAGAAAAAATGGCAGATTTTTGTGGAATGGGAGAATTTTTAAATGGCATATTTAAGAGCAGAAATTGGCACATAACCCATTTTGGCCAAATTTAAAAGGGCTAATACTGGTCAATTAACTTGGTTTGATTCAGAAATTACATGCTGGTGTGCCTTTAAGGGGTGTGGCATAGTGTGTGACATCAGGAGCTTGAGTCGGGTTGGCCAGGTGGTGTGCATGTGAGCGTCTGGGCGTGAGTTGACCCAACTGGCTCTGCTCGCCCACATGCAAGGGCATTACGGCACGTCAAATTTTGGCTTGCACCGCAAAGCACAAACACAACCAAGCGATGGCTCAAAATTTGAAAAACTGGAGGCATTTGTAAGTTGAGGTACCACTGTATTTTACTGAAGAAAAATCTCACTGCATAGCACCCCAAAAAATGGATACACAGGTTAGCTATTGTTAGTCTAACAGCATAATTGTCTTAGTCGTTTTTAACTTACTGTCACGTACCAGTCTGCTAGCTACAAATTGTGTTGTTGTTGTTGTTGTTGTTGGGGTTTTTTTTTTCAGTTTGCGTGTCTAGATTTTCAGTCATCCAGGTCATGGACATCCACAAAGTTTGAACCGAAGCTACTGGACTCTTTTTGTTTGTTGATTTTTGATATGTGGGTGTTTTTTTTTCTTCTTGTTTTCTGAAAAAACGTTCATAAAATGACTTGGGCAATTATGCTAATAGGCTAATGGTGTGTGTCTTCTGCCATCTAGTGGAAAAGCATTTCATTTTTATGCTCTTGTTGCTGACCAACATTCTCTTCTTAAATCAAATGAAGAGGAAGTGTTATTTAAAATAAAAAAAATTAAAAAAAACACTTGTAATACACAAATTTTTACTAAGATGTTGCATAAGGTTCTTGTTTGGAAACGGTGCCCTGCCCCTGCTTTTAAAGGTGCTTATAGGTCCACACAAGTGGACTGTTTTCATGCTTCCACAAATGGATACTTACTTTTTTTATTTCAGGGGAGGGGGGGCAAATATCTACTCTAGGGGTCCTCGGTTTACGGCAAAGTCCAGCGTCATAAAGTCCTAATTACTTTAATATATGTTTATGAGAAGTACATCCGCCGTGTTCGGTATCTTGGCTCTGTTTTCCTCCCACATTCCAAAATCAAGCATGTTCGGTTCATTGAAGTCTCTAAACTGTCATTTGGCGTTAATGTGAACATGAACGGTTATTTGTATGTAAATATGTGCTGTGATTGGCTCTCATCTCAAAGTCACCAACCAGCGATAGGAAAAGTCCTACGGAAAATGAATGGAGATGTCTAGAATATGACGATATGTTACACCGCTGCGCTAAACATTTGATTGCATGGCATTTGTAACATCATAATGCCATAATTGTCCCTATTTGTATCCGAAACACTTTTAGGCTTTACATATGAGACAATTTCAAATGGAATACCGGTGAATAACTGAGTGTATACTCTTATGCCATGCACCATTTGTTACCTCAAAGCCGTGAACTGAGTACCCCTTGTATTTTTTTCATCCGATATGTCACTGCCGTAGGGAACATTTTGTCATATATTATGAGTGGTACAGCTGCAGAGTTTATTATATCCATTATCCTTTCAATAGTATATGTTTACACGTATTTTTTTTTCTGTACAAATGACACCTGGCAAACACATCACGGATGTTACGGTGCGCGACTTTTTTCAACTGTTTTCTCGGTGCCTTCTGTCACAATGCTGTCTACTCAAACCCTAAAGGTCGAGATGTGATTGTCGCTGCCACAAGTGTATTGAACAAACAAAAGTGTTCTTATTGTCAAGCCAAAGATCCAAAAGTACAAGAATAAAAAGCAGTAAGATGACAGGTGACTTTGATTTGTTCTGGGTTTTTTGTTTTTTTTTTGCTTTGTTTTCACAAACTCGAATTACGAGAGTGACGCCGTGACACTTTGGTGGCTTTGCCCCAAATGAAACACAGATTTTTGGAAAGCCCAGCGTCAAAAGCCCCCCCCACGAGCGACTTTCTATGCGAGATTAAAAGCCTGAGCCCATCAGCAGGGATCATTTATACGCTCCGGCCACATGAAAGGACCTCAAAAGTGTCTCTGAGAGTGTCTAAATGTTAGCAAGTGTGTGTGTGTGTGTGTGTGTGTGTGTGTGTGTGTGTGTGTGTGTGATTTTGCCTCTTCTTACCGGAAGAGCCTGTTGGGGGTTGTGGAGGTGGGCTGATGTGCGGCCAATGAAAATGGAGAATGATTCAATGTCTGAGCCTTTTCCAGTCATCTGCAAGCAAGTTGCGTGACTGCTAAATTTGGGGAGCCGCTTGTTTATACGGCGGTTTGACTTCCAAGTTGTACACGTCTCAAAGCGACCGCCACAATTCTAGCAAAATGAATTGATCCGCATCAAGCTCAAAATGTCACCATCATAAAACTTTAATGTGACACTCCCAGCGCGGCAAGTACGAATGAAGGGTTAACGTCTGACCATCTGCGGGAACAGGATGTACATCTTGCACTTCTAAGAGCTAACAGCCCACCCCCCACCCCTTCTCTCGCTCCCTTTCCGCCTTGTGAGACTTTTTTTGCCAATGGAGTATCCACAAGGTCCACGCCTCTGGGAGTAGACACACACACACTGCGGGACATGCATCCAATTGACCACATTCAGCATTGTCTGGGAGGCAACATGATGAAGGTGTTACAGTGATGATGCGCATTCATAAGGATGAGGATTCCTCACGTTAGATGTTTGCCACGTTAGCAGACTCCCTGAGGTATCCACATCTGCTCAGATTTAATCAGTGTCAAAAATACGTTGAGGGACACATCGATCATCTCTGATTAAAATTTGCTCCAAACCAGAGTAATTAATCCCGCCTATGTTGTTGTGCCTTGTGTTAGCATCCAGCTAGTAGACCTTCTTAAAGCAGTTTTGTGGTTGTTTTAAGTCCACAACTTGTAATTCTCGTTGTTTTATGTTTACTTTGACAGTCAACTTTAACTGGGGATTGCTCTAAACATTTTTGTATCTTTCTTATCCTCTCATGAAAACAAGATTAGGGTTGTTCTAAAAACATGTGTAATTGTCTTTGTTTTATGTTCAGTTTGAAGCTAAACTAACTGGGAGTTGCGATAAACATTTCATGACTTTCTTTTCCTCACACTCAAACAAAAGATCATAATAGATTAACTGGATGGATGGACGACGGACAGATGGATGGATTCGAGAGCATCCGCATTTCTCCACCTCTTGCCCTCGCACAAAACATGAACACTATGCCCATTCAGTAGTGATTGTCGACTGGTCGGAAAAAAAAAAGCTGCTGTAAAGCCACAAAAAAAGCTTTCACCATGTTCAGGAGCTATAAACTGAAACATGCTACAAAGCCTCACTCTGCCAATTCATGGTTTACACATTCAGGAAGTGTCAAGCTGCGGTTCCGACTGGAAGTTTTGTGCATAATTTTCTCTCACTCTCTGTCTCTCTCTTTTTCTCTCGCTCTCTCTTTCTCATGACTCACCCTCCCTCTCTATTCACTTGTTCACTGTGTGCTTTCCCGATGCCCTCTCTGCCTCTGGTGTGGAATGTGCATCGCTGCAATATGCACTGCGAGAGCGTGGTTAAGGGGATGCTGAGCACTGTGAGTGCGGTGTCTGTGTTTTCATGTTTTTGTGGGTGTGAGGGAAATAAAAGTGGGTGTCAGCAGGAAGAAAAGAAAAAGCCAGAGACACTAGGAGTGGAGAAAGTACTGCCCTTCACTTTGGGTGTGGAGAAGA